TAGTTCTAGGATTCTACGTGTCCATGATCAGACTCTGAAATTCTAGTTCTAGGATTCTACTAGTCCATGATCAAACTCTAAAATTCTAGTTCTAGGATTCTACTAGTCCATGATCAAACTCTAAAATTCTAGTTCTAGCATTCTACTAGTCCAGACCCAGACTAGAATTCTAAGTCTTGGATTCAGTGGCTCAGCAGCAGACTGCAGCTGCGCTCTTCCTACGTGTCCGAGGAAGTCCGCAGCGATCCCTGGGTGCCTCTTGCTCCCAGCTGCTTTGCGTCCCGGCTATGGAATGATGCGACACCATGGGCGACTTTTAAAACGGAGTTGGAGACGTGCTCTTTCACCTTGGCCTGTCCTATGACGACGTGTTGAATTTCTGATGGCTGTTGCCTGCGGTATTATGTTCGTGAAGCTGTTGAAAGTGGTCCTCGGCCCCAGGGAGGCTCTCCGTCTGTCTGCGGTGCAGCTAATGGACGTCCTGCTTTTGTGCTGTTCCCTCAGCTCCTGCTTTAACGGGGGCACCTGCATCGACCGGATCAACAGCTACTCCTGCACCTGCCTGCCCGGCTTCACCGGCTCCAACTGCCAGCACGAGCTGAACGAGTGCGACTCGCGGCCCTGCCTGAACGCGGGCACCTGCGTGGACGGCCTGGGGTCCTACCGCTGCATCTGCCCACGGGGGTACACCGGCGCTCGCTGCCAGGTCAGAGAGACCCCGAAACCCCACACCTTCCGCTCTTTCGCTCCGGCTAACTTGCAAGCGTTTGTTCCCTTAATGAACGTTAAGAAGCACGGCCCCGTTATCCAGCTTTTAACGGCCAAGTTAAAGTAATTCAAATCAAAGAGCAATTAAATTAAATCCCCAAAAAGAAATTGCATGACTCCTTGCATGATCCAAATAAACAGTTAATCAGTCAAGAAATTTAAACCTAATTAGGCAATTAAGTGTCAATTATGTGAATATGCTTCTGGTTGACTGGAAATTGTGGAATGGAGTAGAATAGAGTGGAAGGGAGGACCAGTCCCCGCCTTGGTGCCAGACTCCAGGGCAGTGAGTCCCAGTACAGCACCTCACCCTCGCCGCGTGTGTCCGGTGTCCCCGCAGGTCGCTGTGGACTTGTGCCGCTCGTCTCCGTGCAAGAACGGGGGCCGCTGCCAGCAGCAGGACTCCAGCCTCAGCTGCGTCTGTCCCGCCGGCTGGTCGGGCCGCTACTGCGACATCCCGGGGGTGTCCTGCGAGGCCGCGGCCAAGCAGAGAGGTACGGAGCTCTTCCCCTGCCGGTGTCGCTCTCCGGAACGAGGACTCGCTCGTGCACGCCTTTGAATCTCCTCATTGGTTGCGTATGAAGTCCCATATGCAGTGTGAGCTCTTGTTTCTGAGTAATCTGGCCCCATCAGACATCTCCATGTTCACACCCCTCCTGTAGGCTCGGTTGAGGCTGGTCCCCTGCTCAGTGTCTCTGGGAGTAAATCTCAGACTGCTGGTGACCGGCCCTTTTCTCTCACTGCTCCAGTGCTGTGGGATGCCCTTCCTCAGACTCTCCGAGAGATACATCCTCTGATTGGGTTGAAACTCACAACTCAAAGCTCACCTTTTTACTGGGGACTACGTCTGATTGTGGTACAGCTTGTCTTGTGTGTTATTTTGTTTATTTTGATTGGCTTTCTGTCATTATGTACCTTATCCTTAGGTTTGGAGAGGTGTTTCCATAAATAAAATGTATTTATAAGTTATAGGATTATGATTATGATTTGCCCCCAGAGCTGTGTTGTTGTGCTCGGGTGTTTCAGAGCGCTAGTCTCTCCCAGAGTGTGGAGTCTTTACACTCCCCCCTCTCTCCCGCCCTCCCCAGGCCTGAGCTCGGACCAGCTGTGCCAGAACGAGGGCCACTGTGTGAACGTGGGCAGCACGCACTACTGCAAGTGCCCCAAGGCCTACACCGGCAGCTACTGCGAGAGCCAGGTGGACTTCTGCCTGGACAGGCCCTGCCGCCGCGGCGCCACCTGCACGAGCTACCTGGGCGGCTACACCTGCGAGGTGAGCCTCTCTCAGGAAGATGTACAGAGCTAAACTCAAAAACACGAAGAGATACATGAGCATGGTTTATTGTTCTATAAAGACTCAGAATTAAGAGGGTTTTGTGGCGCGGCTGGTAGTCAGTCTGCCCATGTCTTTAGTTCAGTGACGTGTCCCCCTGGTAACAGCTTAAAGCACAGAGATGAAAGCTAACGCCCTGGGAGTGAAAAACTGGAAAAACTGCAGCATGAAATAAAATTAGAAACACAGGAAGTGCTGCAGATGATGGGAGTAATTGATCCGAGGGTCCTATTCAGCGTTATCTATAAGGATCCCTGGATTTCGGCCTCAACAGCATGGCTGGGGAGTTTGCTCCCTCCTCCCACAACCCTCTGTGTGACATGACTCCCGATTTCCGTCCTCAATGCATGTCCTCTCCCGCCCTGGCTCTGGCGTCTCACCCTGGTCTGCGGTTGTGCCCTCTCTCCAGTGTTTGCCAGGGTACGAGGGGGTGAACTGCGAGTCGGAGATCGACGAGTGCCAGTCTCGTCCCTGCCAGAACGGCGGCACCTGCATCGACCTGGTTGGGCACTACATCTGCTCGTGCCCCCCCGGCACGCTGGGTGAGTACCGCGGCTCTCCGGAGACGCCCCGCCCGCAGAGAGGCCCCGAGGGCGTGGCTCACCCTGTCTTCCGGCCCCCCGCAGGCGTGCTATGCGAGATCAACGTGGACGACTGCGCTCCGGCTCCGGACGGCTGGGGGCCGAAGTGCCTGAACAACGGGACCTGCGTGGACAGGGTCGGGGGCTACCGCTGCAGCTGCCCCCCCGGGTACACGGGCGAGCGCTGCGAGGGCGACATCAACGAGTGCCGCTCCAACCCCTGCGTCTCCGCCAACACCCTGGACTGCATCCAGCTGCCCAACGACTACCAGTGCGTCTGCAAGCCGGGCTTCACCGGTAAGAACCTCTTCCTCCTCCTCTGCTGTTTCCAGTGCTGCTGCCGCTCTGGATCGGCCAGTAACTGGCTGCGATAAAGACGCTGGACAGTGCACCCGGACACGGTACCCGCGCCTGGGATAGCCCTTTCCTCGTTTCTTACCTGGGGCAGGCAGGTGTTGGCTGTCCCAGGGCTTCCCAGTCCTGGTCCTGGAGTCCCGAACGCCGGCACGTGTTCGTTCCAGCTGAGATGAGCTCCGTTACACCATTGAACCCACAAGCGACTCAATAATGCCATTAATTGAAGCCGTTTGACCGCGCTCGGCTCTGGAACGTGTAGGCGGTCGCCTTTTAACCAGCATGTTTCATAAGTAAGAGTAAATTCCTTGGAGCGAGAAAAATATCAGGCAACTTGGTTATTTAATTAGTTAATTGAGGTGTTGGGGCCTCCGGGATCAGGATGGGGATCCCCTGCTGTCCCGCACAGGAGTCCCGTGTGGTTCTGTCCGAGCCCGATCTCTCCAGCAAGGAGGACGTGAAGGAGGAGTGGGCAGTACCAACAGTGGCTGAGATCCTGGCCGTGCTTGACGTCAGCTGCTCTGTGCTCTTCCCCGCAGGCCGACAGTGCCAGAGGGAGTCGGGCACCTGTGGCTCCCAGCCCTGCCTGAACGGGGCCTTCTGCCGGGACCTGTTCTGCCACAACGGCGGGACGTGCATGACCACGCCCCAGGGCCCGCGCTGCCACTGCCCGCTGGGCTTCGCCGGGCCCGACTGCCAGCGCCGGGAGCCGGCGGGCTGCGCCGCCAAGCCCTGCCTGCAGGGGGGGTCCTGCAGAGACGTCAGCTCCTTCCCCTTCTTCCAGTGCTCCTGCCCGCCCGGCACGCAGGGCAAGCGCTGCGAGGGCGGGGGGAGGCTGGCGCCGGCGCCCCCCGCCGCCGAGCCCCCCTGCCCGCGGGCTGACTGCGCGGGCAAGGCCGACGACGGCGTGTGCGACGCCGAGTGCAACCTGCACTCCTGCCAGTGGGACGGGGGCGACTGCTCGCTGACGGTGAACCCCTGGGGGCGCTGCCCGCACCCCGAGTGCTGGCGGCTCTTCAACAACAGCCAGTGCGACGAGAGGTGCAACACCGCCGAGTGCCTCTACGACAACTTCGACTGCAAGGCCAGGGACAAGATCTGCAAGTGAGTGCCGGCCCGCCCTCAGTCCGGTGTCCTCTTCCTTCCTGTGCTTCCTGAAGACCCTCCCGGACTCACCCCTCCCCGTCTCCCCCAGCCCCATCTACGAGAAGTACTGCGTCGACCACTACGCGGACGGCCGCTGCGACCAGGGCTGCAACACAGAGGAGTGCGGCTGGGACGGGCTGGACTGCGCGGGCGGCGTGCCCGAGAACCTGGCGGACGGCGTGCTGGTCATCGTGGTGCTCATCACCCCCGAGGAGCTCCTGCGCACCAGCACCCGCTTCCTGCAGAACCTCAGCACCATCCTGCGCACCGCGCTGCGCTTCCGGCTGGACGACGACGGGAACATCATGATCCAGCCCTACTACGGCCAGAGCAGCCGCCGGCAGCGCCGGGAGCTGGGGACGGAGCGCGAGGTCATAGGGTGAGCTTCCGCGTCGCTTCCTGGGAGCCTGGGCTCCCCAGACGTGGACCCCTTTGTCCTGGGGCCCTTTCTTTCATAATCCTAGAATGACACTGCCCTAACGCCTCTGTTTGGATTTAGATCCATCGATCAAGATGGGATCAAGCCATCATCTTACCATTTTACCCAGTACAGGGTCACGGGGGGAGCCAGAGCCTATCCCAGCAAGCAGTGGGCACTAGGCAGGGTACACCCTGGATAGGATGCCAGTCCATCGCAGGGTACAAACAGACTCAAAAACACATGTTCGCAGCAGGGCCAAAAGCCAGTTAACCCACCAGGGGTTAATTGAACCTATGGCTCTATTCCCGTGAGGTTGCTAACCACTGTTGCACACTGTTGACATGACAATGTGCAGAATAATACCACACGAGACTGATGCAGGAACCCAGCTGATTTAATAATGGCGGAATAAAGCTGTGCTAATTCTATAAGCAGATGTTTTTAATACGATTAGGATTGGAATCCGATCCGTGTTAGAGGATAATGTCATAATAAGTTTTAGAGTTAGACTGCAGGGGCGTCATAGTGGTGGAGTTTTCGGCACGGCTGCTTCACCGTTCCAGGGACATGGGTTCGATTTCTGCCTGTCTGTGTGAAATTTGCTCGTTCCCCCACCAGCCCCATGGGCTGGTGCCAAGAACTCCGGTTTCTTCCCACCTCCCAGGGACGAGCTGTCCTCAATCCTGGGTTGGACTGGTGTCCTGTCCAGCGAATCAGAGCCCCTCTGTCCCTCCCTGGGCTTCCGGGATCGGCTCTCGGCTCTCGGTGGGGTCGTCACCAGGAAAAGTAGCACGTGACCCAATGACAATCCAGGCGTTTGAGCTCATGGTGTACGCCTCTCTCCTGCTCCATGTCACGCAGCTCCATCGTGGAACTGGAGATCGACAACCGGCTGTGCGCCGAGGGATCGGACAACTGCTTCCCGACGGCAGAGATCGCGGCCGATTACCTTGGGGCTTTGCACACTGTGGACAGGCTGCGGTTCCCCTTCCCCATCAAGCAGGTCCAGAGTAAGTAGCCCTCTCCCGGCCCGGGAGACTAATGGATCACGGGCTGTGGAGCTCGCAGTGCATCCAGGGGGGCGTGGCAGAGGGGAGCATGCACTCTCTGAGGGGAGGGCTGCAGCTGATTAGCAATCGGCCATTCCACATTGGGAGGTTTCAGTAGAAAACCTATCATCGACGACCGCAAATTGAAAGGGAGAAACCTAACTAAAACAAAATGTAGGATTGTACTGACTCCCTGTCTTCCTCTCCAGGTAAGAAGGTGCCTCAGAACGAGGTGGAATGGAGTAAGCTCCTGCCCCTGGTGGGCGTGGCGGGGCTGTTCCTCCTGGTCATCCTGGTGGTGGGGATGCTGATCGCCAGACGCAAGCGGGAGCACAGCACGCTCTGGTTCCCCGAGGGCTTCTTCCTCAAGAAGGAGACGAGCAGCAACAAGAACCGGCGGGAGCCCGTGGGCCAGGACGCGCTGGGCATGAAGTAAGGACAGAGCCCCAGCCCCGCAGGGCAGAGCTGTCGGATCGGCTCCAGCTTTTACCAGCAGCCGGCTACGTCACCACGTGTGAGAAGATAGCGGGCGTGGAAGATGTACAGTCTGATAGCTGATTTTGAGAAGTACTGCAAAGGCAGTTGATGTGAAAGAGTGCGTCGTGCCTCCTGGTGTTCTGTGGCACGTGTGGCACAAAGCTCTGCTGCTGGTAAAACCTGCCGTGGATCTTGGAGCTCTGCATTGGGAGTCTGAACCAAAGAGACCAGGTCTCCCTCGGGGGGGAGGGGGGCACTTGCTGGGATGTTGCCAGCTGGACTAAGCTGGTTTTCGTCTTTCCTTGCAGACACATGCCCAAGACGGTGGAGGAGAGCCTCCTGGGTGACCACAGTGACCAGTGGCTGGACCCAGACTGCCCAGAGGCCAAGAGGCTCAAGGTAACTGAGCAGATGGGCGTGCTATAAAAACTGGACAGAACCCCAGCAAATTCAAATAAGTATTCTCCACAGCGGCCCTTCTCCACCAGAAGAGGCGAGCAGGGACACTGTAGTGCTTGGCAGTTAAATCCTCAGCCCCCTGTGATCAGAGCCAGTACCCCTTTGTACAGCAACGTGCAGGACTTGAACCTGCAGCCCCCTGGAGTCTCACCCTCCCGTCCAACGCCACCTGAATGCAGTGTCTGACTGCCGTGTGTGTGTGCGTTGTGTCCCAGGTGGAGGAGCCCAACGCCCTGTCGGACAGTGAGGACGCGGTGGACTGCCGCCAGTGGACGCAGCATCACCTCGCTGCCGCAGACATCCGCATGCCCCCCTCCATGGCCCTGACGCCCCCCCAGGGAGAGTTCGACAGCGACTGCATGGACGTCAACGTCCGAGGGCCAGGTAGGGCTGAGCCTGCGCCTGACCAGCCAGTGGACGTGAGGGCAGGTAGCACCGGTAGAGGGTAGAGCCCGTTTTTCTGAGCAACTCGCCTTTGTCCGCGCAGACGGCTTCACCCCGCTCATGCTGGCCTCCTTCTGCGGCGGGGGCCTGGAGACGGCCGTGGCCGAGGAAGAGGAGGGCGAGGAGTCGTCGGCCAACATCATCTCCGACCTCATCTACCAGGGCGCCAGCCTGGCTGCGCAGACCGACCGCACCGGGGAGACGGCGCTGCACCTGGCCGCCCGCTACGCCCGCGCCGACGCCGCCAAGAGGCTGCTGGACGCTGGCGCGGACGCCAACGCGCAGGACAACACGGGCCGCACGCCGCTGCACGCCGCGGTGGCCGCCGACGCGCAGGGCGTCTTCCAGGTGAGTCCCGCGCCCCCCGGGCGCTCAGAAGAGGAATAAATCCATCACAATTGGAACCGGTCACATCCTGTCTTGATGAACCTCCTTACGGATTGTACTCGGTCCTGCAGGCTTCCTGTTGCCCTGTGCGTGACCGATTTCTAGAGGCAGTGCTCTTCCCACGGACTGACGGGACTCCCCCCTTCGCTCTCTCTCTGTCCGCCCTCAGATCCTGATCCGGACCCGAGCCACGGACCTGGATGCCCGGATGTACGACGGCTCGACGGCCCTGATCCTGGCGGCGCGGCTGGCGGTGGAGGGGATGGTGGAGGAGCTGATCGCCTGCCACGCGGACGTCAACGCCGTGGATGAGCTGGGTGAGTGGCGGCAGCCACGGTACGGGGCCGGTAGCTCCTCCGGACGTTGCTCTGGAGCGCTGGGACGATCGCCTGTCTCTCCAGGCCCAGAGTGATGACTTCAGCTCGTGCTGACTGCAGAGCTCTTCACTGCTTGGCCAGGCTGATGCACAGGGGCAAACAGATGCCATTCAACCTGTCCTGGTGGCACCATGATTGTGCCTATCTGTGTGTGTCTGTGTGCTCTGCTGGTTATTGAAGGGGTGTCTGTGTGCTCTTCTGGTTATTGAAGGGGTGTCTGTGTGTCTGTGTTGCAGGCAAGTCCGCTCTGCACTGGGCTGCAGCTGTTAACAATGTGGAGGCCACCGTGGCGCTGTTGAAGAACGGAGCGAACAAGGACATGCAGGACCTCAAGGTGACGCATCCCAGCCCCACCCTGGCCCAGTTCAGGGTGTTACACAACACGGTCCAGTTCAGAGTATGAGACATTAGACATCCTGGCCCAGTTCAGGGTGTTGGACAGCCAATATTAAACCAATATGATACACAATTCTTAAAATGTTTGAAAGTGTTTTGGAGTTTGCCAATATATTACTGTATTTTTAAGCTCCGGCTTGGCAAATGCTTTCTATCTTGGAAGTTTTTTCTTTCGGAGGACATTTACAGATGACAGAAACCGTACTCTGGTTATTGTATATATAAAAGCCCAAGACGTCTGGGTCCTGCTAAATTAACGGGTGAAACGGGACCCCAGGGTGGGCTCACTCAGTTTCTCCTCTCCCTGTCCACTCCAGGAGGAGACCCCCCTGTTCCTGGCAGCGCGGGAGGGCAGCTGCGAAGCCGCCAAGATCCTGCTGGATCACTTCGCCAACCGGGAGATCACCGACCACATGGACCGGCTGCCCAGAGACATCGCGCAGGACAGGATGCACCACGACATCGTGCAGCTGCTGGACGAGTACAACACCGTGCGCAGCCCGCAGGGGCACGCCGCGCCCGGGCACCACATGGCAGGGGGGCACACGCTTTCCCCGCTCATGTGCCCCCCTGGGACCTTCATCCCCGGCCTGAAGCAGACCCCGCAGGGCAAGAAGTCGAGGCGGCCCAGCGCCAAGGGAGCCGGGATGGGCGGCGGCCAACAGCAGCAACACATCCCGGGCCTGGCCAAGGATTCGGCCAAGGCCAGGAGCAAGAAGCTGACGCTGGACATGCAGAGCGCCCTGCTGGAGAGCTCCGTCACCCTGTCGCCCGTCGACTCGCTGGACTCCCCCCGCGGTGGGGCCAGCAACGCCGGCTACGTGACCAACCCCGCCTCCCCCGCCACCATGCCCTCCCCTGGCATGTTCCACCCAGCCTCCTCCATGTCCGTGCCGTCCACCCCTCTGGTGCACAGCCTCATGGACGGGCCCTTTGCCGTCTCCCTGGCGCAGCTCAGTGACATCGGGGAGGGCCCCAGCCAGAACGCCCTTCTCTCCATGAACCCCATGCAGGGGCGCGTCTCCATGTCTTCGGTCAACGCCAACCCCGGGCCCCCCAGCTACGTCCTCAACTCCGGCCAGCTGGGCCTCAACCTGGGCATGGTGAGCCCCGTCAGCATCCCCTTCGACTGGCACGCCCGCCTCCCCGCCAGCTCCCAGTGCGGCCAGCAGGTCATCAACCTCGTGCACCCCATCAGCACGCAGGCGGGCATGCACGCTCAGAGCCAGCAGGCCATCCTGCAGCAGCAGCACGGGCTCCTGCTGCAGCACCAGCAGCGCATGTTCCACGGATCGCAGGCCCTGGTGCAGCAACAGCAGCAGCAGCACCAACAGCAAGTGTCTTCTCCACAGCAGAGCCTCAGCCCGGTCAAGATGCAAACAGTGGCCGAGCAGCAGAACCAGCAGCTTACTGCCCAACAGCAGCTGCACAGCCAAGTCCTGGCCACCCAGCAGAGCCTGGCCAGAATGGGGGGATCATCCACTCCCCCCGAGCCCCAGCAGCAGGCTCCCCCTGGTCCTCCCCAGGCCCCCTTCTTCAGCCAGCAGCCGCCTCCCCAGCAACCGCCTCCCCAGCAACCGCCTCCCCAGCAGCCACCTCCCCAGCAACCGCTGCCCCAGCAACAGCCTCTCCAGCAACCGCTGCCCCAGCAACAGCAGCCTCCGGCACCCCAGCCGCAACCGCAGGCCTCCGGTGCTGGCAACCCGGCCCTGGAGGACTACCCTACACCCCCATCCCAGCACAGCTACACCTCGGCCCTGGACGCCACCCCCAAGCATTACCTCCACCTCCAGAGCGAGCACCCCTACCTGACCCCCTCCCCAGAGTCCCCCGAGCCCTGGTCCAGCCCGTCCCCCCACTCCGTGTCCGACTGGTCCGAGTCCACCCCGAGCCCGGCCATCGTGGGTACCACCCAGACCCAGATCCCCCACATCCAAGAGCAAGGGGGCAAGATGCAGGTGTTCGCGTGAAGAGGAACACGGGCGGATTCTCGCCTCCCCCTGCAGGGAGCGCTCCATCCCTCTCTCTGCAGGGCCTCGGACTGTCCCTGTTCCCTTCACATCCAGCCCGTCCGCGGGGCTCCGGGTCCGGATTCGCTGATTTTCGGTGCTGGCTGCGGGTCGAGAGAGAGAGAGAGAGAGAGGGAAGAGTGAAGCAAGAGGCGCTCTGTCTGGAGAAGACAGAGAGGGCACCTTTAATGAAGTACGACTCACTGTGTCGCTGACGGACCCTCGGGACCACGCGGGGATGGGTGACCATTACATGAAGGAGAAAGTCTTGAATTTCAAAGACTGGGTTACGTTCTCCTGCTAAAGAAGAAGATGAACTTTCACAAGCCGGAAGAGAACTCTTGAAGGAAGTCTTTCATTTGCCTTTTTTTTTTATTTATTGTCTGTGTTCTGCTGGGCCTGTCCGGCCTGGCCCCCCCTCTCTCCTGCCTGCTCCTGCTCTCGTTGTCTTGAACCCGAGGTCTCGGCTGTGGCGCCCTGTGCTTTTCCCCTCACCTGCGCCGCTGAAGCACGGGTCGACTGGGTGAGCGAATCCGTACATTCGGAGAGGGAGAGGTGTCGTGCGGATTGGATCTCGACGTCGGACACAGGACACTGTGGGGCGCCCCATGTCCCCCCTAATAATGTTTGGGCTTTAACAGTAATGGCCCCACACACGAAAGTCACCTATGGAGACTTTTTTCAAACGGCTGCCTGCTTTCTCCTTTCCTTGTTGCCTGTGGGACAGGCTGGGCGTTCCCCACCCCTGAGCACTTCCTGGAGAACTGAAGAGAATAAAGCTGAAGTCAGTAATATAATTCCGATCGTAGGACGTAAAGTGTACATATAGAGATATATTTATAGCGGGGCTTGAGGAGTTTGGAGGGCTGAGGTTCTTAAAGGACGTGTTTTTCAGAAGTACGCACGCAGGCCGAGTCCGGCACTGCCGACTTCCCCCATCCCGAAATACCGCCATCCGTTTAGCCGTCTCGGGGACGTCCCGGGTCCGAGGCTGCACCCACACCCGCCGCCACTCCCCGCGGCCGGACAGGCTCGCTCTCGGAGAGCTCCGACCTCCGACCTGGCCCCCTTCCAAAGGGGGACGAGCCTCCAAAACAAAAACAAAAAAACTCCCCAAGAAAACCGGTAGCTTCAGCCGCCCCGCTGGTCACTGCCCTTGTCGTTGAGCTGCGCCCTTCCTGACTTGCATGCTGCTGTACGAGTGCGGGTTCCTGGGATCTCCGTGGATTCCTGCTGCTTCCGTGGGGACCAATAGCTGAAGAAGCTCGTTTCCACAGCTGCTACATTCCTGCCCCGCCGCAGGGCTCGCGCTCAGTCCCGGCTCCGGCCTCTTCGCTCGCACAGCTCCACGCCTGGGAAATCCCGGCTCAGCCTTGAGCGCTTCCACAACTTTGACAGAAGGGGGGGGGTGTTTCCTGCAGTCCCGGACTGCTGGGGCGTAGAACTGAGCTGGTTAATCAGGGCTGCTGGCTCTCGGTAAGAGAGTACGGCCACTGCCTGGACGAGAACTGCGTCCCTCGTTCTCCCCCCACACCAGTGATGGGACACACGCGGGTCAGAGGGCCGGTGTGACAGGAGGCAGGGAGGCGCGAGGGGGGCTGTGTGTAGGCTGCTACGGCCATGTCACTCTGTACAGAGGCGGTTTATGGAATGGTGTATGGCGCTCGCGCTGTATCGGTAGTAGCTCTACATATGCAAGTGCAGGGCTGGCTCAGAGGTGTCTGAGTCTGGGCGGAGCAGATGCTGCCATGCAGTACTGCCACCCCCCCCCCCCTCTCCTTTGGCATTTTTAATGAACCGTCCTGCCCAGCCAATCACAAGGTACCGTGGGAGGGCGGAGCACCGCCCCCTGGGAAGGCTATGAGCAGTGCATGTGTTTCTCCTCCTGAGCTCTCCTGTCCTTCATGGGACCTGTTGGTTGTGGGGTTGATTCGAAACATGGAAAGGCTTTGTTCCGGGTTTCGGGGAAATGTCTCGGGACATTATTGGACCTGGAGACTAAATTGAAATAGTTTTTCTGTATAGATCTGTATTCAGTAGGACCTTTTTGTGTGTGTGTGTTTTTTTTTGTAAGAAGAAGAAAAAGAAAGAAGACAAACATTCCTTTATAGCTGCCATGCCAGGTGTCTGCTCTCTCTGCCGTCTCGGACGAGAGTGGACCTCGCTGCTCCAGACTGCTGTCCAGATGTGCGCGGCCTCCTTTCCTTCCCTGAAGTGTTTGTGCTGGTGATCGTGCCTCTCAGGATGAGAAGCACTTCTCTGGTTCACATGTTTAAAAGTAGCTGATTGTGTGTGTATATATAATATGCACCTACACATGTATATTCTACATATATATATTATATATATATAAATGGTATGGAGAACACCAGCAAGGTCTTAACTGAAAGCAAGCTGCTTGGCCCAAAATTAAAACTTGTTTGGTTCTATTTTACTACAGTCCCGTAACTAGCGACCCTTCCCTCTCCCCCACCCTACACCCCCAGGGGCAGCTTTGAAATGTGAAGACCAAGCAAGCGTCACACACACACACACAGACATGCCCCGAGAGCTGCACTGGAAACCGGGACCCCAGGTGCTGCAGAATGAAATCAGAAATAGATATTAACCAAGCATCTCACTGCCATTGAGTTGATCGCCACTGCTGAGCCAGCAGGTCCCACAGCTGCCTGTTTTATAAAACCTCTGGATCAGATCTTTCAGCCTCCAGACTTTCGAACATCTGTTGTTTGAGGGCTTTTGCACTCACGTTGCTTCTGTAGCTGAAGGCAAATCGAGAGTTCGTGTTCACAGAGAGGCTCTGCAGTGATTTTCCAATACATCCACACTTCCTAAAATGGACATTTTACGAACTACTGTGTTGATCAGGCACAGCACGCTAAGGGCTGAGGCTGTCCATTTTGGTTTTGGTCGGAATGCACTTTTCCCACTTCCTGGAGTTTTTGAAATGAGATTTTTAACCGGAGCCCAGCTGTAGAGAGCCCCAGCGGCAGGCTTTGGTGGCTCTTGAAAGAGCACGTTTTCCCGTCGTCCCTGCCTGCGCTCCGTGAATGTGCCGGGATCTCGGGAAAACCAATCCCGCTCGATGTCGGGGACCCTGTTCCCCGTGGTCCCGGCTCAGTTTTCCCTCTTTCTTTCCGAGTGCACACACGCGTGCGAATAAAAAAGAAAGCTACTTGTACATTTCAGACATTTTCCTTCTATTTGTAAATATGTCCATCTGAAGTTGTTCTGATTGCTTCAGAAAATTTTATGTTTTAAAAAGTATGTACTAAAAAGTAAAAAAAGAAAATGTATTTCTTATTAGCATTATCAGGGAACTGAAGAAGCGGCCAGTTTCCTTGGTCTTGTATTATTAGAGCAGTTATAGTTTATTTTTGTTATTAATTCCTATACTTGTTTAAAAGTAGATTAAAAACTTTGTACAGAAACACTTTTTCACAATGTTTGTATTCAACAGATGACTTGTAAAATAAGTTACTTCTAATAAAAAAATGTAGGTAACTACGAATTCTTGAGTGCTTGTTTTTTTCTTGCCGTCTTTGTTGTTCAAGAGGTTTTTACTGTTGAAGTAAAGAAGAACAGGCGGCCCTGATGTTTACTGAAGGAGGATGTGATGTCCTTCAGAAAACTGTCACAAAAGCATCAAAATGGTGACAGTTGAGAGGTCAATTGGCCCCTCTGGCTCATCTGGTTTCCAGTGGCTGTGTGATCCATTAAACCACATTTAAAGCTGACGACCGGAGACACCTATTTACACAGACTGGTGGGACAATCAGCCATGTTGTTGAAGCTGATACCTGGCTTCTTTCAAGAAACAGCTGGAGGAGATCGGAGGCACAAAGGGTGGTGGGAGTGTGGAACAAGGTGCCCAGCCAGGTCGTTGTAGCCGATACCCTGGCTTCGTTCAGGAAACAGCTGGAGCCGGTCCTGGGATCAGTTGGCTACCTGCAAAAGAGTAGTAGCAGAAGTGTAAAGGGTAGAGTCCCACACAGCTCCCCTGTGCCTGCAAGGTGAGGCTCTGCTCACCACCGGCATATGAGGATGAAACTAATGGTTATTGCATGGAAGGTAATACGCTCGTATTATAATGATTATGATTATAAATAATCATCATGATTCCTTGTGTGTTTGCAGAGACCCAACCTGCTGCCTCACACGATTAACCTGAATTGATTGAACTGTGGTATCAAACACAGAGGAGTACTGAGGGCCCAAGCCCAGCCCTGCAGGAACGGTCAGTGAAGCAATAAACTGAGCACTGGCGCCACCTAGTGACTTTGTAAGACACACACTGGCTAAAAGCCACTTGGAGGTAATTCATTTACCCCTCCTGGGAGTCCGTGCTGCTGTTTCCAATTCAATTCAAGCTCTATTGTCCCCTAGGGCAATTTGTTTTGAAGCACAGTCAAACACAACACAATGACAAATACACACCATCAAAAGGGAAGAGAATACAGACGTGTTACAGGAGACAAGAAACAAGAGACAAAGTAGTTACTTTGTAGTGTTTTAAAGAGTGTAATTGCAGTGGGAATGAAAGATTTCCTGAGTCTGCTGGTTTTACGTCTGGGGGTTTGAAAAACTAATAATAACAATACAAGACTGCGAAAGGTTCCTGAGTTATTACTGTCATTTTACATGTGGAGTTACTTTATTTTGAAAGGATTTTAAAGGAGGAAGGGTAATGGGGTCACGACCCCTTGAACATCACCGAGTTGAACATAAGTGACCTCAGCCGCATTACCAGCGGGCATCAATAGACCCGCCCCGTATTTTTTATTGGCGAATGTGGCTGTCAATAGTTTCCCAGCCCCATTGTTATTGGGTGAGCTCATCATTTTCGCTTGTTCTGATTGGTTATGTGGGCGTCAATCTAACCTCCAGTTCCTCCCTGCGTTTGTTCAGGTAGCTTTTTGGGTGTTGCGCTGTGGGGATGAAGATAAAATAAGATGGGCTCACTTTATTGGCCATATACAATTTCTTGTATTAGGAATTTGTCTTTTCGCATACAGTGCAGCCTGTCACGCAGGTGCTGTTATTTAAAAGCAGGGAATAACACTGTGGGGCAGTCTTTCGAATCGACAGTAAACGATTTTTAATTCCGGTTTAGACTTTTTTTCAGCTTCTCGGAAACCCTCTAGTATTTATGCCCTAGTGCCCTCTAGTGGCACCGACAGTAAATCTAGTCTGTAGTACTGAGCGATTTAGGGAATAAATAATCCTTATATTTACATTGCGCTTTTCTGGACTCTCCAATCAAAGCACTTTACAAGTAATGGGGTCTCCCCTCCACCACCAATGTTTAGCCCCACCTGGATGATGCGACGCCCGTCAAAGTGCGCCACCTGGGGAGGAGTAATGAACGGGAATATTTATTAAGATTGCACGACTGGTAAAGGCCAGGGGGAAATCTGGTCACGACACCGGGGTTACAACCCTCTCATTTTAATAATAATATTTAATAATAATAATAGCTTACACTTATATAGCGCTTTTCTGGACACTCCACTCAAAGCGCTTTAAAGGTAATGGGGACTCCCCTCCACCACCACCACCAATGTGTAGCATCCAACTGGATGATGCGACGGCAGCCATAGTGCGCCAGAACGCTCACCACACACCACCTCTCAGTGGGGAGGATTTTAAGAAACGCCCTGGGATTTTTAATGACCATTACAGTCACAGGATCTCTGTTTTACGTCTCATCTCATGCGCCTTTATAGTATACCATCGCTACACTGGGTTATAGGACCTCAGAAAGACCGCGGGGTGAGCGCCCCCTGCTGGCCCCACTAACACCTCTTCCAGCAGCAGCCTTAGCTTTCCCAGGCGGTCTACCGGCCAGGAACTGGCAACTAGCACAACTTCAGTGGGTTGCCAGGTGAGAGTTGCAGGGTGATGTAGCTGATGGATAAACACTCACGTAGAGGATGCAGGGATCGATCTCGCTACCTCTCGCATGCTAAGCGAGCGCTCTACAATTTTAGCTAATCTCCATCGCCGAAAAGTGTGAGATGCTGCAGCCTGACTTTTATTAAGAAGGTTAGATAAGGTTAACCTTTTACGCACTCTGATGTTAAGGTCACAGACCCTAAGAATATATATGGATTTTACTGATATTTATTTAACACGTATTAGAACAGACAGGTATCAGGCGATCAATTAAAGTAAAAAGAATAATGTTTTTTTTTCTTTCAAGATGATAATTCCATGGCGTCACAGAGATTAAAGCGGTTTTCAATGCAGGATGAGTCGCTAAAATGGGAAGTTTCTTTACACAACAAACGTCAGTCATGTGTACAGCTTCGAAACCTCACCTGTAGTGAAACCCCCTCAGGTCACGCGGTAAAAAGTTCCTCTAAGAAATACCCGATTCGTTCAAACTGAAGTCAATCACAGGGGGCGGGCGAGAGGCGACACCTGCGGCTTTTCATTGGATAAGAGTCGCGTCACTCGCTCCTGTGGAGGCGGGAAGTGCGAGGTGTTGCTGTGGTGACGTGTAACTCCTGACTGAGGAGCCGGAAGTAACTCGGAACTGGAAAGCAGAGTTTAGGGACTAATAAAAACAACGTACACCTTATCGTAGGGGAAGCGACGATGGCCGGGGACCGAGGAAGTTGTTGTCGACTGTTCGTTTTCATATTTCTTTTTGGCTGCTGTGGCGCTAGGATACACCATCTAGCGTTGAAGGTAAGAGGCGTCTCCATTTGTTCCATACGGCCCCAGTCAGCGCTGTACGGTCGGCATGTTTGGGCCTCTGAATACCGTGTGGTTCAGGTCGCATCGTTGCCTCCTGTTGTTGCGCCTGAATGCTGAATCAAATGAGCGACAAAGCAGTGAAGGCTCGGTGTAGCTAGCTGTCGGAACCGAGAGCCACCAGCGCTTCTTGTAGAGTTGTTGATCCGTGAGACAGCTTGGGAGCGCTGTTAGCATCGCTGGAACTTTTGACGTGAACTTCAGGGGACGAAACATATTTATCTTTGTTACCATGATCCGTGTCAGGCGATTCCGGTTGAAACGTGCGAGAGATCCGGGTGAGTCGTGGCGGCTCAAACGCGGGAGACCGCCACGCCACCTAGACACGGCGTTTTGCTTAATATCTGGCGTGTCTAAAGGGACACGAATTGAATGATAGCGTCTTGCGCTAAAACCACAGCGTGAACAAATGGGTTGTCACAGTTTGCTCTTCATAGCAGAACAGCTTTGGGATCCTTTGACATGGAAGGCTCTAGAGAAATGTCAGCCTTTATTATTACGGGAAAAATGACATAAATGCACTCGTTACGAGTTAATTAAATGACATACCGACATATTTTAAAATACAAATTTTTACGTGAGTTTAACTGAAGCATGAATGCCCATGTGAGCTGATTGACTTATTTAGACAACTCTAAATGTACACCTTGTCCTCTGTGTGGCTCTGAAAGACAGGCACAATATCGAAACCTTATCTCCTTTAGCAGTATCAGTGAAAGCGGTCAGTCCACAGTTGCACAGGAGTCTGGTGCAAGACAGGACTCCTATTGCATTCACTCATCCACTCCAGGTTTTATAGTGACAACAAATAGATTATCATTACCAAGTAGCCTGGTTTTCTCTGGGATTTATCAGAATCGGTGTCTGGGTATTTTTTTTATCATTACACCCATCAAAGTAAATTTGTGTAGTTAGGCAGAAATTGGGTTAAAATATATTTAATGTACCCTTTCAGTTTGATTCGACCACTTTTATGAATCCCTGCAAGCTGGAAATTGCTGGTTTTGGAATAAAACAGCTATGCATTGTGAGGGAACAAGTAATAGGTTTATTCCATGCTGAAAAGAGAAGAAAGAAAACACGACGTTTCGGCTGTGGAGTCTTCCTCAGGTGTGAGAAAGACCTACTACTTGCTCCTTTGCAGCCTACGCATGCTGACACAGCTACCCACCTGAACTACTTGGCATTGTGAGTCCTGACTGGTTTCCAACCCTGTGTATGAGCTGTGATTCCCTCCTGCCTCCTAACACGCACCTGCAAGAACTGTCTCAAACTAGCTCAGGATGGACTGCCTCTGACTTTGCAACCCTCTCCCTGCAAAAGCAAGCTTCACCTTGAGATCCACTCTTAAAGAACCGGCTGTCTGACAGGCGTCACAGGCTACTGGCCTGTCTAACCCTGCTCCCCCCACACTCTCACCCCTGTCTTTTTGTGAGCATCTTAAGTAAAGCCTTTTGCATAACTCACCACTGTCAGGTGTCAGAGCTGAGCAGTGCAAGACAGAGGCGGTTTACGAGCCCTTGTGTCTTCACAGCAATTGGGGGGAACAGCAGGTGTGCACTGCAGCTGGTTACAGCCGGGTGTGGAAATCGGACTCAGATTGCACTGCTGTGTCCGCTGTTTACTGTTTTACAAGCTGCTGTTGAATTAAACCATTGTTCAGTATTGGATGTATGCTTTTTCGCTTGGAGTAAGGTTGTGCAGACTGATGCGGTGATGAAATACTTCCAGCGCTCACGCTTAGCGTTGGCTTTCCTGCTCATCAGACACGCTGCCCTCCAGTTGCAGTCTGCAGTCTTAACATCCGCAGCCTTCTTGCGCGGGAGGTTATTCTCCCCAGCGCAGCCTATAACACACATGGTTCGGCAGTTTCACACTTTTCATGACCTGCGTGAGGATCTCGGCCGTCGCTGCTGCTCCTCGGTGCGCAGCTGAGCTGGGGGCTGGGTCTGGCGGTTGTCTTGCGGGTGCACACATTGTGCGAGAGCCCTGCGGGACCAGCCGGGTGAAAAGCTGACGTCAAAGCCGAACCACTGTGCGGATCAAAGTCTGGTGTCCGTGCTTGTGTAGGTATTGTAATATCTTCACTTTAACAACATGATGTGTGTGGGATTTACCATTGTGTATTCCAAGCTGATGCAGCTCCCTGTTTGTATCTATACTTGCTGCAATAAGCTTTCCATCCTTGGATATTTGAAATCACTATATACTGTATTGTGAGCCATATTACATTGGTCTTAGTCATAGTTTTAAACAATGTGGTTTGAAAATGTAGAATTAATTTTGAATTGTTCCGTGTCTCGGTTGATAATTTTGTTTCTGTGACTGACATGCAACGGATGAGTAATTCTGACATGAATCTAGTTTTCCTTTTCCAGCGTTCCTGAAGGGTTAAAATTCGGAGCGGGGTGGCAGCAGTCCGCTTCTATTTGATTAGGATCGAAGGGAAAGAGAGGAATACTGCTGTCTGCTGGTCTTCCTGACTGAACTCGGTCCTCTTCCTGCGTCTCTTTCATTCCAGAATGAGACCCGATCCCTGATCCGCCTGAATTCCTTTGGGTTCTACGGCAACGGCACACTGGACGTCAACCTGAGAGGGCTGAGCCTTAAAGACGAGAAAAGCATCGACGGCAGAACGGTGAGCAGATCGCCGTCCGTCGTCTTTCCCCGGCCTGTGGCAGGGATTGCATCCCTGGGTTTCTCCGCTTCCTGCGCTGTACTGCATGCTGTGTGAGGACTCTGCTCTGGCAGCAGCCTGCGCCGTTCCTGCATGCAGATGTCTGCAGGAAACCCAATGTTACGGTTTATTCACAGTTTTCAGCTAAACACGCCCCACTCACATAGCTGAGAATTTAGGGGTGAGGTGGAGATCACAGGCAGAGCTTCCTGAGCCTCTGCGAGTCATGTCTGCATTGGCTGACCTTGACCAGTGTGGTGGCAAAATCTTGTCACTTTATTCTATAATCAGTGTGTTGTTTAAGTGATACAACACAGTCAAGCTCACGCTTGTAGGCTGAACAGAATTTGGCTCATTAGCTCATTTTTGGGCAGAGCTGTCCATCTTAATATCTGGTTTAGTGGTTCTCAGCCTCTCAGCTCATAACAAATTTCTGTCTGCAGAATTTGATTCTGAGTTGTGCATGTCCTGCGGCAGTGTCGCAGCTTTTGTGCTTCATTATTGTCCTGATGGCCTATGTGAGCGTTGCTCTTCACTTTTCAGCGGTTCCTCAGTAAAAGGGCTGACCACAAACACAGACTGCAGCCACACCCTAGTCCTTAGTGCACACATGCCAGACAACAGGTACAAACCAGGGAAAGGGGAGAAAAAAGCACAAAGCTCTGGAGAAAGAAAGATGAAGGGCTCTCTCTTCTTGCAGCTCTTACCAGACTTCGTTGCCACCTCTACGGATTCTAGGGGACGTCCTGTGTTTTTATTAAGAAATTATCATGCGAGGGCTTGGTGTCTAATGCCTTCTGTCTGTCCAAGATCAGTGTGAGATCCCAGACCTCAATGCTGACAGATGTAATTTATTGTTTCAACAGCTGCTTGTAGTTTACACTTCATTTAACCCTGCAGCAGTGTGGGCAGCGTCGGTCATGCAAAGGATAACTTCACGGCATAACTTATTTTGAAATCATTTTTTTTGTTTGTTTTGAACTTGCTTGGCAGGTTGGGTTCAGTCTGTCGAAATCCCGTGTCGATGGAGTGTTGACCTACGCTGTAAGTAGATATTTGTTTTTCAGGGGTTAGAGTGGAGAGGTAGTAGAGTAGAGTTCAATTCCAGACCTGGAATGCACAATGCTGTGGCAGAGATGTGTGAGAGATGTGGGAGTGAGGCAGCTTGGTGTGTTTTACTCTTCAGGTTATTATTCAGCTCCTCCTTGTACGTTTGACTATGCCAGCACGTACTGTAGAGTTCAGATTTACCTGTCTCCTCAAATCTGTGCCAGCACTGGAACCCCTGGGATTAAATTCTCTTCTTATGAGAACTAATAGACCTGTGTATGTAAATATATATAATATATGCAGTATTTATAGTAACGAGTAGATATTAATTCCATGATATAAAGTAGAATGACAATCTCACTGTTTTGGCTGTGAAGCTTTCTCAAGGTTGAGTAGAGAAATGTTATGAGTTTTCATTTTTCTTTCTATTTTTCCTCAATTAAGATTTGTTTGTTCGTCTGTAGCCCGCGCACTGACACTGCTCCCAGCTCATACCTGTAATGTAACTGCAGGTTGTTAATGTGGGTGTGAACAGTAAATGTGTTTTCTCTGCGGACCTGCTTGGTGTGAAATCTGAGACTCTGAGAGTCTGACCCCGTGATGCAGGCAGTGACCCTGTTTCTGTCCCCTCTTCTCCTCTGTGCGTGTATCTGCAGGCGGAGGACCTGGATGAATGTGCGCTGAATCAGAAGAGCAGCTCTGAGCCCCTCATCCTCTTCCTCATCGATGTCAAAACCCAAGAGTAAGATCCCAGGAGCCCGCTCATGTTGAGGGCTTCCTGACTGGCCTTGTGTGCCGCCCGATACCGGTCACCAGTTCTGGGGTTGCTCCTGTGCTGCCTGGAGTTGTCCAGTCCCTCCTGACCTCTCAGCTCTGTGATTGGAGAGCTAACTGAACCAGGAGTTTGCTTTTATTTGCCTGTATTATGTTTAAGTTTTCACACAACAGATTCAAAGCTGACTTTAGGAAACATTTGACTTGCCTCTGTAATATCTAGTTATGCAAATAGCTCAGTTCAAGGCTGAATTGGAAAGCAGAACTCCTGGGGTCCTGCCCAGAGCCAGTCCTGCTTTCTGGCTGTTATTGGCTGAATGTTCGAGACTTTCTTTAGTAGCATCTCAGTTCTTTTTTTCAGTCTATGAGGCATCCTCAACTGTGGCTACAGATGTGAGTTCTCAGGGGTGTGGGGGGGGTGTTCATCTGTTTTAACCTTGGTGCTGTTCGTTTTGTACAGAGTTAAAGTCCAGATGTTTGGGGAGCAGGACAGCATCCTCACCGTGGACTTGCAAAACAAGGAAGCCGAAAAGTCCTCAGGTTAGTGTTATCCATGTTTCAAGTATAATTGTTTTTGTCTTCTGTTTTTACTGGAGAGTTTGATGAGCTAAGCTCCTTACCAGCCTGCGAGACTTCAGTCTCTTCAATACTTCAATACTTTTCTGTGGGCCATACCTGTTCAACATTTCTTCCTTTGTTCTCTCGTACAAATGACCGTTGATTGAAAAAGCCTGTCGCAGGTCACACGTCTAGCTGGAGGCTCTGAGCCTTAGTCAGAAACGTGTTGATATGCACACAGGAGGAGGCATGTCATATCAGTGATTTTGTATCCGCAAGGGCTCAGGCTCTGGAATCCAGGTTTCTCTATCTCTGTTATGATATACACTGATCAGGGTTAGAAGGCTGTAGACTTTTAACGACTAGGAAAGTTGTGGAAAACCTTATGGAGTTTGGAGCTGGGATATGGGCCCTGGGTTCAAGTGCTGTTCTGCTATATGTGTGGAGTTCGCATGTTCTCCCTGTGTTCAAGTGGGTTTCCTCCGGGTGCACCGGTTTCCTTCCGCAGCCCACAGATATGCAGTTTGGTTAATTGGCCCTGGTGTGAGTGTGTCTGTCTGCCCAGCGATGGACTGGCGTCCCATCTAGGGTGTACCCTGCCTTGCTTGGATAGGCTCCAGCTCCTGTGCGACCCAGTACTGGGTAAAGAGGTTAGAGGATGGATGGAAAGGCTCTGACAGGTGGTCCTGCCGGAGGAGCATATGTGCAGGTCCTTATTCACCCCTCATGGATATGTGGGCCCTTTGCCAGGAAGCCGAGGGCTAAGCAGCTGATGACAGAAACTGAATGGGCGAGTTTTTGGAATAGCCCAAAAAGTAGAGCGCAGATCATTTCGTTCTTTGGCAGGAAACAGAAGAAAAAGGGAAAGTCCTCAAGACGCGGCCAAAGCCCCCACCGAAAGCAGTCCGATTGCTGCGGAGGTGTCGAAAGGGAAGGAGCCTGAGAAGAAGAAAGCTGAGCCCGAGAAGGGCGCGCGGAAGACCTCGCCGGGGAAGAGCCCCAGCACCTTGCCCAGTAAAGTAAGCAGAGTGCAGCGGCGCAGCAGGTATCTTCTGTGCTATGGAAAGAGCAGCCTGTTAACTTCCATGCACCAGGTCACCTGCTTTCCACCTCACTCAGTGGAGGTGTGGAGGGTGGTGCTACTCCTAAGTGGTCTCATTCGTGTCCGGTTGACATCTTTGCGATCCGCGGGGCTCCTGGGAGGAGAGCAGGGCTGTCACAGGAGGCGTGCTGGACATTCCCAGGAGAGTCGGGAGCCCAGTCGTGTGGTCATCCCTGATGGCCAGGCTGCCGGTGTATGCTGCTCAGAAGACTTGTGTTTTGTTTGGATGCAGTTCTGTGTTTTTGTTTCAATGGTTCTTTGTTGCAAGCAGTTAATCGATTGCTCTTACGGCGCAGGTGGAGAAGACGTTCGCCTTGGGAAAAAGAGACAACGTCTACAACTTCAGTGTAAGCAAAAAGAAACATTTTCTTCAAGGTTTATTGCTTAAGCACCTCCCTTTCCTTTACCGTACACCAGGGAAATGTGCTGGAGAAAAACCCTTGGAATTATGGAATTGTTGGAATATCAGTGTAGTAAAGCTGCCTGTTCTGCCTGTTTGTCTCTCCGAAGCCTGTACTGATGAAACAGCAAAAATGAATTGAGATTCTTCTTCTAACTTTGTAGGTTAATGGGATTTTTCAATTTAGTTTGAAGCTTTTTTCCAAATTTGTAGTCATGATTCCGTACTGGTGGTGTCAAGTCTTGGTCCTGTAGGTGTTGTATGCTCACTGGCCAGAACATTAGGAACCCTCCCATGAGTACGAATACTGTCTTGTTGGTGCTGGCACTTCATGGCTGGGCTCGAGCAGCCTGAGACAGATATTCCTTTGCCATTATTGGCCAGTGCCATTCTCAGATCTCAATCCTGTTGAAAACAGGAATCCTGTTCTGGAAAAGGAGGAGGAGATCCGATGCAGATGTTTCAGAGCCTTGTGGCATGCACCTGCCACACTCCAGCTGTTGGCACAGGCCAGTCGTGGTATGCACCAGGGGTTCCTAATATTTTGGCCAGTAAATGCAGGCCAGTCTTTGTTTCCAAAATATAGTCTTGTAAGAAATCAGTTTGCAAAGGAATACCCAGCTCTGGTCCTGAAAGGTTAAGGGCAGTGTTCATGGTTCATGGTCAAAAGATATCTGTTAATGAAGCATCTTGGCTTCTTCAGCCTAATCTTTTCATTAGAGCAGAGGTGAGTAACTTACTTGTCCCTTTTGTCCGTCCCGCAGTTTCACCTGACCTTCGGCTCCAAGTCCGAGGGACTGTACAGCCTCAACTTCCACAACTGCAGGAACAGGATCCCCGGGAAGGAGATCCCCTTCAACCTGGACGTGAGTTTGCGCTGTCTCCCGTCGTGCTGACCCTCAGCTGCGGTGTTTGACAGGATGGCCTGAGCTGTTAAGATTATTCTTGCAGGTGTATTCTCTGCATCAGCCTTGCAGTGCATGACAGTCACGGAGAAGGACAGCGCTAGTCTAATCTCTGTCCTGGCTCTGCTATGCAGTGTCCTCCTGGCTCAGGAGCCCAGGCTTGGCTCCACCACCCTACTTTACTTTCCTGGTAATGGGGCCAGGGCTCTTCTGGCTGAGCTGTGCTCCGTTGTAGGGGATGATGAGCATCAGTGTGAAAGCTTGTGTACACTGCCCACATCAGGTGTGCAGAGTGAAGCTTGGGCATTTACATGGTTTTAATATCATCCTCCATGTTCCTCTCGCCTCTGCCAAAATCCACACCCTCTCCTCTGTCACCTGTGATCTGACAGTTCTGAAGTTGGCGAGAGGGTGGGGAGCAGGCGAGTTTGATCGGGGTGGATGGTGGCGGGTAAGGTTGTGATAACAGAGTCACCCCTCGCTGTAAAGGGAAGAATGCCAGCTCAACTGTTATTGCAGACTTGTTTGAAGTCGGATGCCTAATGTCAAAGCCTGTTTGCAGCTCATTTTGCTTGCTTCCTTGTGAATTTGGTCCTTCATTCACTTAAATATGTGTTCAGGACCAGTGCAGTCTAATGCAAATCACTCCTGGTCTTGGAGGACAGATATCTGGTACCTGTTAATACTCTCCTGCTTATTAATGACTTGAACTGAGCCAGTTGTTTACTTAAATAGTCTCTGTTACTTCTGCCTCCAGGACTTATCTCACTGATGATTACAAGTTGCCTAGAAAACCTGGTGGCTCTCCAGGACCAGGACTGAATTTCACTGCCCTAGTGTCTCTTTGCTTGCTAATTGCATTGGAGCTGGGTCCCTGGATGGCAGATGGAGGTGGAGGCGGAGTTCCCTGACTCCCAGGTGTTTTCTCTCTGTTTCCTGCAGGTGCTGATCACGGAGAGGAACCCCGGGGGGTATCTGTCGGCTGCGGAGATTCCTTTGCCCCTGCTGTACATAGTCATGTCGGGCTTCTTCTTCACGGCCGCCATGTTCTGGGTGTACATCCTGCTGAAGCACAGGTAACCAGAGCCAGACACTGGGACGCTGCAGTTACGGGCCCTGTGGCTGGTGTTGCTCGCCTGGTTCCTAGTATCTTATAGATCTAAGGCCCTCATCCAGCTGTTACCTGAAGCTTCCCAGAGAATTCGTGTCCACAGCATGGCTGGTCAGTCGCTGGCGTAATGTGAAGCATTGTCAGGTTCTGCTGCTTTATTCTTTGCCCTTTCCAGCATTGTCTCTCGTCTGCCTTCTCGTTTGCCCATTCGCCTCTCGAGATCTGGAACCTCAAAACCTTTGAGGTTCTCCTCACAGGCCACTGGGGAGAGCTGAGAGTTAGAAACACCTATTGAGGGAAGAGCCAAGCTCCCATGATGTAAAATAAAACAAAAACCAAATGCTCTTCCAATGCTGGTAAGCTTGATGTCCCGGGAATGTGGGATGTTCTGCATTTTCCAGCATTGTTCCTCTGTGACCACTCCACACATTCATAGAAACCACCCTGCAGCCGTGATGCCCCACCTGGGTGGAAAGGGGTTCAGGGGCACAAAGTCCAGGCTTTATGGGCCTGGGGCTCCTTCTGGGTTTTTTTAATCTGCTGCCCACCCCTGTAGCAGTAATGAGCACAGTTTGTTTAACACTTATGTGGCTTATTATGATACTTTGACACAGCAAAAACCACATCAGGGTGCTCCAGTGCTTATTTCTACTCCTGGAGATTTAAACGGTGATTATATCCTCTTCATTATGAACAGGCTGGTTAGTTTTAATAGCTCCCTCATAGTAGAAGCAGGCAGTTCCAGGGGTGCCTCTCTGTTTTTGTCTTTGTGCAGGCCTTGATGGATGTGTTTGTTCTCTCTGGTTTTCAAGTGCTTTCAGCCACCCCTGGGCTTGTCTTTGTCCCCGCAGGTTCAACGTCTTTAAAATCCACTGGCTGATGGCAGCGCTGGCCTTCACCAAGTCCCTCTCGCTCATCTTTCACAGCGTGAGTTCTCAGCGTTGTGTGGAGAGCCGCTTGAGCAGAGTTCCCTGCTGCCCTACCAATCCAGATGAGCTACAGTACCCCGTGACTTCATTAACTCGTTTGTGGGTCTAATTGGCCAAGAACAGCATGATCACTTGCCAGTAATTTACTCCAGTAAAATCTGCAGGTTTGGTGCTGATAGCGTGAGAGTGGGTGTAAAAAAACTGTTCACCGCTTCAAGCTAATCTGAATGTGTTTTAATTTGCAGATAAACTATTACTTCATCAACACCAAAGGACACCCCATTGAAGGCTGGGCTGTCATGTACTACATCACCCACCTGTGAGTTCTTCTGTGCATGTGGACCTGTACTGAGTTAGCAGCAGGGTCTTTTTGTTCCAAAGAGTACTTTCTAGACTAGTCCTTGTTTTTAAGGCGTTTAACATTTCCTTTAATTCTTTGCCCTTGACACATGTTTGAAAGTCTGCGTGCACTGTGGTATGAATGCTCTGTGGGCAGTTAGATTTCAATGCAGGTTTGTCTTTCTGCGATACCGGTGTGGGGTTGCATTCAATAGAGCTACCTAGCTGTCAGGCGCTGATCAGGCTGCCTCTGCCTGTCTTCTTCTTAGGCTGAAGGGGGCCCTGCTCTTCATCACTTTGGCCCTCATTGGGACTGGCTGGGCTTTTGTCAAATACATCCTGTCGGACAAGGAGAAGAAGATCTTCATGATTGTTATCCCCCTTCAGGTACTGAATATCTTTTGTGCATGGGTTCTTTTGATTTATTAAGAGTGTTTGCTGGCTCTTGTAAACTGCTTAATTAACCTGTGTGTAATTGATCCTTAATTGGTTAATTGACATTGCATTATTTTATTTCACCTTGCTGCCCTAATTAAGTGGGGGTAAATTAGATTAAAGACTTGCTTTGGAGTGGACCAGCTGTGTTCCCGGTCAGTAGCCACTCTGTCCTCTCTGTGCAGGTCCTGGCCAATGTGGCCTACATCATCATCGAGTCGACGGAGGAGGGCAACAGTGACTACGCCCTGTGGAAGGAGATCCTTTTCCTGGTCGACCTGATCTGCTGTGGAGCCATCCTCTTCCCCGTGGTCTGGTAAGTAGCCTGCTGCAGCTGAACATGTGCAAAGTCTCAGAAAATCACCCCCAGCATTATCCAGCGTTCAGCAACCCTCCCTTGTCACTCTTCGTGGAGGCCTGAAGGCGATCGTCAGCTGCTGTGTGGTTTGACGAGCCTTTTCTGCCCTCACGGTTTCTGATTTTCCCAACTCTAGGTCAATACGTCATTTGCAGGAAGCCTCCAGCACAGACGGGAAAGGTGAGTGTTGATGGTTTATTAGTATTTCTGATGTGTGGGGCTTTTCAAGAAGTTGCACACAGTAGTCTGTTAATAACATTTGGCTTGAGGACTTGACTTTCTGTTTTGCGTGGTGTTCTCACGGGTTTGTGGATTTGTGCAGAGGATGACTGTATCGTCTGAAGTGATTGTACTCCTCCCCTTAAGAATCCTGCTCCCGTTCTGGTACAGTCCTTCCAGCCTTTCCTGTTCACTCTGGAATTGACCTCTGCTTGGCTCCCCTCCCTGCCCACGCAGCCCCCCAACTCGTCACTGTTCCCTGGTGTCTTTCCAATCTCTCACACTTCTCTCCTCCTCTGCTCCTGCAGCTGCCATGAACCTGGAGAAGCTGAAGCTCTTCCGGCACTACTACGTGATGGTCAGTACCGTGCAGCTCTGTTCTTGCTGTTCGCCTTGAGGATACAGAGTCGGAGCGCTGTGCAGGCAGGAGTATTGCAGGGGGGCAGTGCTGTTGTGCTCCAGGTGTGCTGCTCCAGCCCAGGTGTAGAACAGGAGGAGCCCCTTCCTTCTTCACATGTCTAAGTCTGTGCTCTGCCTCCAGATCGTGTGCTACATCTACTTCACCCGGATCATCGCCATTCTCCTCAAAGTCACCGTGCCGTTCCAGTGGCAGTGGTTCTATGAGGTAAGGCGGACTGCTCACTCTGCTTGTGTCCGAACTGGTGCTTGTCTCTTTCGAGGTGAATCAGATTTTTGTGAGCGCAATGTTGTTGGGAGATCTAAGCCATAACATGGGAAAAATATGCTAGGACTCCGTCAGGTGTTTTTCTTATTAAGAAAAAAAGAAAACAATATAGCCATTCATGAAAGGTTAAGGAAGATTCTGAATATTGCGGGAATGTGTACAGGCAGGAGTAGTCTCGGTTATAAAGGAATGGGGTGTTGACTCGGGGGCTGTGTGCTGTTTTTCAGCTGCTGGTGGAAGTCTCCACTCTGATCTTCTTTGTGCTGACGGGGTACAAGTTCAGGCCGGCCTCCAACAACCCCTACCTCCAGCTGCCCCAGGACGAGGAGGATGTGGAGATGGACGAAGTGTAAGATTGTCATTTATTTTGTCTGTCATCAGCCCCTGTGCTTTGTGGGCCATCTCTGCGCCTGAGGTGTTTCCCCAGCAAGATTTTACTGTGAGCAGTGCAAAAAAGCCATTTGGTTAACTAGGAGCAGGGTGGACATACATTTGTCAGTGATGAGTTTGTGCACTCAAGATCCCAAGTGTTAAGTGTGTGGCCGTTCATTTCCAGCTATGTAGTCAGGTAACAATGAGCATTTTTACTTAAAAGCAGTTTTGTTTTTATTGGTGCCATCGTACAGGAAAGTAAAGCTTGGGCGTCCGTGAGGAATATCTTTCCTTTTGCCAGGCAAATGCATTTTTTTCCCCTGTGTTTTCTTACTTCCTGAGTAGGTGTTCTCCCCCTTCTCCGGCTTGTCCTTCCTACTTTCTGGCTCTCACAGAAGTGCCCCTGGAGAGCCCCTTTAATGCCCGTGTTTCTGCCTGTGACCCTATACAGGGTGACGGAGTCTGGTGTATTGGAGGGGATCTCCAAAGTGAAGAAGACGTCCAATGGCAGAGAGAGACTGAGAGACTCGGCGGTGTGAGACCGCCTGAGGCGAGCCCTGCACTCCCCCTTCCTCTCCAGGAGCTCGCGGCCTGCTTTGCAGCCCCGGGTTGCCTTGCTCTATGCAAACGAACGCTGGATTTTGTTGTGACGTGTTCTGTCTTTTTTTTGTTGCCGTTTTTTTGAGAGAGAATCGGAATCAGCAGGCCCCGTGAAGCTTGAAGCCTCCTATTTTTTTCCATCAATTTCCTTTTTTTTTTTTGCTTCGACACCCGTTGCTGTGTCTCCCCACTTCACCCCCCAGCTGAGCCCCTGAGAGCGGGGCAGTGAAATGTTCATCTTGAGGGTGAAGAGAGCAGCCCCAAGGACCATGGCATTTTTAAAAGACACGTCCCGCTGTCTGCAGGGGGCTATCCTTTCTCCTTTTGCTGTGTCTGCAGTCGGGTCAGAAGACGGAGGGTGTTCGAATTCCTCGATCTTTAATGGCACGTTGGGAAAGCATCTCTGACCCAAAAATGGAAATGGCAGAGAGCCCGAGTCCAGTAATAAGTGACTCTGAATACCACTCCTCCCCTTAAGAATCCTGCTCCCGTTCTGGTACAGTCTGGCTACACAGCCCCTGAGGCTGACTCCATCCCTGATGCAAAAACTTTAAAGAAGCACGCAGAGCCTTCAGTGTCCGGCACACTGGAATGATCTCGCTGATCTCCTTGTCCAAGCCATTCCAGCACAGGGCCCGCCGGAGTCCCGGCTCACAGCGCTCTCAACTTGGGGTACCGCACGGCGGTCCACGGCGGGGGGGGGGGGGGGGGGTGTTGGGGTTGAGGCGGAGCCCCGTCTTTTTTTCTGAGTAACAAGTAGCTCGGAAATGGGAAATGGCAGGCAACGTATGTATTTATTTTTTAAATCGTAGGTGGTAGCCTTTAAAAAAAAAAAGATCTGAGATGGGTCATCTCTGTATCTCTGTAATTATAAGACGGATTTTTTTTACTTCATTCCAGAAGAACCAGGCCTCCTCTTACAGCTTGTTTGCCTCTTCGGAAACTCTCGTTTGCAACCCGGATCACCTTTGCTAGGTCTCTGCACATGATTGCTAGTAGTAGTAACCCGAATCCAAAGTGCAGTTTGTTACAGTTTGTTTGTGCGGTCCAGGTGGCTGTTCTATTTCAGCAAAGAAAAGTTTGAACAGGACTAGATTACTGTACTTCTCCTTTCATGTGCAACTCAGTCCAGCCACACTTCAAGTGTTTTTATTTATATGTACCTGTATATACATGTTTTTTTGTGTGTTATTTGGTTTTACAGGGCATTTGATTCATGGGATTAAAAAAATCTTGAGAAACGTAGTTTATGAACATGAGCACCCATAGTGCTTCAGAGTTTCTGTCAAGCTCCCAGAATTGTATGGTTAACTCTTTACCGTACCTCTTCCTGGATTTTGATCTTATCTATAAAATGGAAAATATCAGTGCAGCAGGTTTGGCGCTGGTGTGGGACGCTTTAGAAATCGGCCTGTTAAAGCACCTGGAAGCACGCGATTGGTGTCGAGTCCTAAAGACCACACGCCAGGGTGATCCAGAACCATGCCTTCCTAACTTCCTCTTAAAAGACACAGGGCCAGCAGAGACAGCCTTGTTCTCTTTCCTTTCCTGTACGCCAGCGCTTCTCGGTCCTGGTCCTTGGGGACCCCTGTGTCTGCTGGGGTTCATTCGCCGCCAGTGCTGCCTGCAGCCTGGAACTGATCTGCTTACGGGTGTAGACCCTCTTCTGCACTCAGTCCTCAATTTCTGACCCCCCCCCCCAGTTAAAGTGCATTATTTTCAGCAACTTGTGCCCACAGACCTTTTTGCAGTTTCTGCTCCACTTGCTAATTAAGAATGCGCTTGCTTATCTCTGGATGAACATTTCGTAGTAGGCAATCAGTTGAAGAGGAACAAACACAGGAGGGGGATGACCCTGTACCAGACACGCCCGCGGTGAGTCAGGGCTTTTTCTTTGGATAAAATCCTCAACGCCTTAGCACGGGGTTCATTTTAATTACAAGTCTCATGCAGCTTCTTCAGTGCTGACAGCAAATTAAAAAAACAACTCTCACAGAAAATGAAGATAATTTGGCACTGGGGATGAGGGGCTCGGCCAGGAAGATGTATATGAGCACTGCAGGACCAGGATGAGAGAATCACTGTCTTATGCCAGTAAAAGGCCCTTGAAATCAGAGATGAGCTGAGTTGCGAAAAGGCACCACCAGCTCTGCACTTGCAAAGCTATGCATTCGTGTAAAAATGGTGTACATATATTATAAATAGATCTGAAGATAAATGTATCATTTACTGTGCTAATCCTGCAGGACAGCCAGGAAGACTGTGCTTGAAGAAACAAAAATCAAGAAGCCAACGTGTACAAATTCTGTACTTTTGCCCTGCTTTTGTAAAATGAAATTAAGCTCTTACAGCAAAAGATGGGGTGTAAATGTTTCCAAGGCCAGAGAGGCGTTGTTTTGAGCAGGACGGCCGGCCCACTTGTGTGTGTGTTTGCGTTCGGACTGTGCTATAGCCCATGAGATGGTTGTTTCAGTTCTTCTCCTGCAGCCTCCCAAACCCTGTCCCACCCTCCCGCACAAAACAGTCCCGGTGTCCTCACTGGACCACAGTGGCTGCCGTCCACAACTGCGGCTCGCAGACAGCGACACCCACTGCAGGGCCGTGTCTCCGGCCGACGTCACTGCTGCCGTCCCTGCCTCAGTCGCCCCTCTGTAGTGGGCGGAAACAAACAGTCCCGTGTCGGAAATGGACTCTGTGATTTCCTTCACGGGCTCGCTGCTTGGCCCGTTCTTGAACTGGGCAGTGAAGATGGACAGCGGGTGACCAGGAGGCGCATCTCGGAGAGAACCCAATACTGGTAGACTACAGGCAAGGAATTCCCTAAATAGGTAACAAAGCTTGTTACGCTACAGCGAGCCGCTTGTATTCTGGCCGTTCAGCTATGATCTTCAACCTTGTCCTCAGGAGACTAGAATTTCTGGGTTTCATTCACCGAGCTGTGAAGTACTCAGAATCTTAGCTGGATCCAAGCCGATGCTTTTAGAGCCTGGTGGGATTGCTTGGAGCTCATTTGGCCCGTGGAAATGTAAACCACCACAGAACCACTGTGGTTCTGTGTGGAGGTGGATCAGGATCAGGACGATCCGGCTCTAGTCCCGCAGGGCAGGTGTGTCTGCAGGTTTTCCATGTCTCTGTAAGGAGCCAGGTACTGTTAAGCTGGGAAGAAGTTGCTCGGGAAGTTGGTCCAGTTAAGCCCAGCTGAAATGAAAACCTACAGCAAGACCAGCATTCCAGGCCCGGAGCTGGACCCCTCTGAGCCTGTTAAATGAGTTGGACCTCAGGAACTGCATGACTTCAGACCTGGAGGGCTAGAAGGCTTCATTGTTTTCTTTCCACCCATGTCCTTCATTACCTAACTGAGCTCAGTATTTGCTTAATTTTTCAAAAGTGTTTGCAAGACCTGAAGGCTTTCCTTGTTTTCGAGCAAAGCCTGCGGGCCGCGGCCCTCGAAGACCAGAGCTGGTCTGTCACTCCTGTGCCTCCTTAGTATTTGTGAACCAGGCGATGAGTTGTTGATCTGCTCTGTGGCCCTAGTTTCTCTTTAGACAAAGTGAATGAATTGCCAGGGTAATAATGTAAAGAGCCCGTTTTCAGAAGTGGGTGGTGTGTCACCCAGTTTCAGGCTCATGCACACGGTTCAGGGGGCGGCAGGTGTTGCAGTGTTCATGGTTCGATAGCTTTAATTGTCTCGGAGTTGGACGGAGAGTACGTCTGGGAGCATGCTTCTCAGTGTGTCTGCACATAGTATGTGTGATGGGACATTTTACAGTGTGCAATGGTTTTTTCTTTCTTGAGTGCTGTTGATTTTAAGAATCCTGTTTTTTTTATTGCTGGTTGGGAGGTCTATGCAGCATCCAAAGCACTGGTGTCCAAGTGCTACTTCCTGTATAAGAAAAGTACTTTGTATGATTCCTTTAAAGTATTACAACTTGGATCACTTTTTGTGATATTTTTCTTGATGTATAAAGCTACTCAGATGTGCTGTGTATAACTAATGTGCACATGTGGAAATAAATCTAATTAAAAAAAATAATGAGCAGTCCTACAATTCTACAGTACACTGACACAGCCCAGTCACAGGGCTCTGGACTCTTCTAGTCCCTGTGGAGTCCAGGACACTGACAC